CCCACACACCAGCACTCACCTTCACTGTTCTCAATTCTGACTTTCTAAACTTCTCATTCCCTATGGGCTCCTCTATGTCTTTTATTCCTAGAAATTTCCCATTTGGTTCCCTCCTCAAGGGAACTAATTAAGTTAAAAAGTCTTGATTCTTTCTTCCCTTAGGTCCCCTCCCTGTTCCACGGGCTCCTCTGAAGCTGCTGGTTTCCATAGTCACCTAAAGAGCATTACCTGCCACCCTACCCATTTTGGCTTCTGCCAACTACACAGTGCTGCCGCTGCCAAACAACCGCCACCTCCTGGACATGGCCACATACTGCACCTTGTGTGGACCTTCCTTATCCTGACTGTCTCTGGAAACTGAGAATCCTGATTTGTTTTGGGAATAGATGTGACATAATTTGTACGCATCTTAGCTAGAAGCACTTATGCGGCAAAGTTAGCTGCTCTTTATTGAGTGTTTATGAAGTTCCATGATTGTGCTGTAAAGTATGTCCCTATGTGATAAGTAGGAATCATAGATACTGCCGACATTTTGAAATGACTAATTGACTGAAATTGTGCGATTCTACTTATCAGTGTGTTCAAACACTTTGATACGTATCTAACATTTTGCTGAATGTACCTTCCCTCCAATTGGAACTAAAAGTACGTGTTTCTTTATTTTCCAAATCACAACATAAACCCAATCATTAATCCTTATCAGTAGGTGAGTCCAGGCAGGTTATCTTTGAACCAAATACTAAAACATAATGCAAGCAAATATTCCAACAAGCACCAATACTACAGCACAGAAACTCTGCTCTATATAGCATAAGAAGTGGTTTTAATAAAATAAGATCAATATTCTCTCTTCACACCATGAATTAGCTACACTGTCACACTAAGTTTTTGTGTCTTATTGTTTAATATTGTTTTGTGTTTTATATGAAGACCCCACATTGCATATTTAATATAAAATGCTACAAAGTATGCTTTTGCTTAATTTTAAAAATGCTAAGCAAAAGTGATTTAAGTTGCTTCTTACTTATTGGTGGAATAAACAGGAGGAAGAAGGTGGGAAAGAGGATCTTCTTAAGAAGAAAGATCAAAATCTTACCTTTTAAGATTTAAATCCAAGATTGTGACCCTCTTCCTGGAGGGAAAGGAAAGCATACCAATGATTTAAAAATAAAAAATGTAAAACCTGTCTCCTTACTTACTCAATCTTACCCTCTATTACCTAGATAGATCTTTTCCTTGCAAGTTGAGCAGAGGCTATCATATTCTATATGTTCTCTGAGAAATTTTCATCTCACAGAAGAAAATATCCATAACCTCATAGCTGCACATTTCTTTTCCTTCCCTCTTGTCTTCACCAGATTTCCTCCTTTCTCAGTGCATACTTGAACCTCATGGTGTCCTGGTACAGAATGTTCTGTTCTATCTCAAAGGAAGCTTCAGCTCTGCACCGCCTTCCTTCCTTCTGGCTCCTTCGTATACTTCATGAGTAAAGACTTGACTTTCAACCATTTATAAATAATTACTTTGGCTTTGGGAAATCCATAAGAATCATTTCTTAAATTCCTAAAACATTAGTAAAGGTCCATTGCTTTTATTTAAGGTATTAGCAAATACTTCTTTAGCAACAATTATTTCCACTGCAGTGTTGGAACATGTTAATAATGAGATGATGATCACAAATATGACTTTCACATTAGCCAAAAGATATCATGTTCCATGATAGAAGAAAGAATGGCTCTTTAGGCATTAATCAAGTACCAGATACCTAGTAGATATACTGAATGTCTACTCTTGTATGAGCTGGGCATGCAGTGGTGAAGAAGATGGATAATAACCTTTATTAATAAGTTCTTATTCAGCGTAGTACAGCCATGGAATAAGGGATTCCAAAATCTCACCACCTCACTTTCTTATATTATGTTGTGATTGCAAACATTTGTTGTACAATGCAGTCAATACCTCTATGTTAGAAAAGTAAGTAACTCAGTGCAGAATCTATGTCACATCTATGCCAAAGGAGAGTAAAGTAGCATGCTTGAATTTAAACGATTTAACTTGTAATTTTTTAAAATGCTACTATTCCACACTCACAGCCACTCACAATGACTTGTACTGACTTGTGTGGGCAGGTAGAGTAGTTGATTCACCTCATGAATCTCATACCAGCACAGTCTGTAAGAGGAAGGCCTTAAATGGCAATTCTGGGAAGGCAGTAAACGCTCATCTAGTAAATAAATAAATAAAATTGTGTTTAAATTTCTCATAAGATTTGGCATGTTGGGGCAATAATTACATGTGCTATACGAGCAAGAGTAATAAAGGATTCTCAGCTTTAAGCCTAAGTAATTAGAAAGAGGAAACCCAAAAGAACTCCATGATTGTTTTTACATGAGACTCAAGTACTAGAAGGATAACAGAAGTTTTGCAGCAAAGGCAACAAAAGCTATATCTCTATATAAAGTTTAATTTACTTTTTTGGAGCTTCCTTTATTCAAGAAGATTGAAAATATGTTCCTTCTGAGCACAAAGAAGGAAAGCATTTTATTCTCAAGACATAAATGCCTAAGGTGCCAAACAGGGGAAAATCTAGGGTCAAAGACTTCAACCTGGAGACCAAGAAAAGGCTGGAGATGGAGATTAAAGAAGAAAACAAAGTTAAAGTAAGATTTTATGCAACAGATTTTGGAACAAAGAGAAAAAGCAGCCTTTAGATGTGGGGGGGGAGGGTGGGAATAAAGCAGAAAATGATTACAGAGATATATATCCCAAATATAGAATACATGAAACTAATAGCAAGTTCCCACTACCTCTCTCCTGTTGAAGTTTCTCCCACTCTTAGAGGAAATCCCTAAGATTATGGCTGATAAACTTTCTTTGCTTTTCACTTAAGTTGCAAGATTTATCACATTGATTTGGGGGCTGGGGGTAACTCCTGAACACCAAGAGAGACTTGAAAACTATTTTGAATTTTGAAATTCCCAAAGGTCATCACAGGTCAAACACAGGGAAGACTTTGGGGGAAATGAATGGGAAGATGTTGGTTGTAAAGCAGAATGGAGACTGAAGCTCTGATTATTTCCCACTCAGGCATCTTTTCTATGTTAGTAACAACTAATGGATAGTAAGTGCCAACTCTTTTCATGAATTAAATGACAATAAAAACTATGAATACATTCCTCCAATTCCCTAAACACAGGTTATGTGAGTGAGGAAACTAGACTCAAAGTGACATCTCTAGCCTCCACTGAAAGTATGGGTGAAGCTGGGATTTACATCAAGGCACTCTCTCTGAAGTCTGGATTTAGGGTCACCATGGTGACTGAAAAAAGCCTTAAACTTTCAGGCAAGTGACAGCTTGTTTCTAAGACAAGCGATCCCTGGCAAAACAGGTAGGAGAGAAGCTAAGGAAGGGAGGAATCATAAGCACATATTTTTATAGGACATTAAGACCTGTGCCCATTTAAGATGTGGCTATACTGCTTTGCAGTTACTTTGAACCAAGAAGTTTCATATTATTTCATAGGCAATGCCAGTAAATGCTTCAACAATTTCTGCAATATAAGCTCTTTGCCTTTGATTTTAGAAGATCCCATTGTTATGAAGATCTCATCATTATTCTCAAATGGCAAACACTCTAAAGTCAAACAACCACAAGTTCTAAGATCTTATTTCCTGAGGTAGTTCTTGATAGTAAAAAGGGGTTTATACAAGTGATTTAATTGAAATCATAATATAATCAGGACTTTTAGGTTACCACTCTGTATGTCTTTTATTCTTCAAAACCATTTTTTATTCAATATCTTACAGCCATGTTAGGAAAGATGTTCTACTATTATTCCCCATCTTAAGGAGAAAAAAAAAACAAACCCAAACACAGAAATTATGTGAATTCTCAAATATAGCATCAGTCTTTAGAATAGTAAAATTATATAAATGTGAAAACAAATGGACCAACATACTCTCCAAATCAAGCTGTAAAATTTTTTAAAATGTAGAACAAGAACCTAAGGAAGAGATTCAGTTCTCTAAGAAAAATGCAGTCCCAAACGTTCATATCAGGCACATGATTTAAAAATATCAAACTTTTCAAATGACTTGTAACTTGTTAAAAAAAAAATCTGTTCATTATGACAAATAACTTGGAGAAATAGTATTTTTGACTGAGCAGTTATGAAAATAACATAACTGTTTCCTAAATAATAACCTAATGTTAATCCTTAAAAATAATTATTTAAAGTCAACCTATGAATTCAAGGTAGGCACACCTAACAAGTACAAATGGAGAAATACAATTTTAATGTCCACCTGGTTAGTATACATAGAATATTCATTGACTGAATTAAGTTGTGAAATATGGTCTGGAATTGGGCTGACTGTTAAATTTAAGTTCATTTTTTATTGTTTCAAATTTTAAAGAATTTGACCCACTCCTATAGTTGTTAAAAAAACTATAATCTCAAAAATATCTACTTATTAAAAAATAACTTTATAAACAAAAAGATATACTAGCCATCTCACCTAGACAGTTAGAAATTACTTTTCCCAGCAAGTTTCCACAATCCCAGTATTTGAAGCTTATTTCAAAAACCATCATTATTTTGCATTTATAAATTGCATCCTTACATTAAAGACATAATCTTTAAATGTATTCAATGTCCACATCCCAATTTTAATCACACTATTCCTTTCATTAACATAGACTATGGTACCTAATAAAAGCACGACATATTTCTAGTTTCCACTGCACAACTTAAGGTTCTTTGTTGAAGCAATAATGGATATCATCAAGATCGCTGAAGCAATAAAGTGAACATTATACTGCTTTTAAGAAAATCCAAGTATACATACACTTACATAAGACAAAAAAGAATAACTCAATTTATGGGAAAAAAAAGAGAGAGATAACTAAATATTATCTAAAATATCTAGTTCTGCTTTCTATCATCTAAAACAATCTAAAGATACTTAGATTTTCAATCTAAGTAGGAATGTTAAGAATGAAAAGTACAGAAATAAAGAGAGGGAAAGGGTGGTGGGAAGAAGAGGGGAGAGGAGTAAAGGAGGAGAAACAGAGGGAAAGAAAGTGGGAGATGCTGAAAACCAAAACCTTTCAGGGAAAAATAACATTCTCAAAGCATTTTTAACCTTAACTTTAACTGATAAGGTAGGTAACACAGGATATGAAAATTCAGTACAGGACTTCATAAAAAATATAAGCTAGAAACTAAACTCCAGCAAAATTATTGTAATAACAGTCAGTGCTGGCTGGGATTCCTTTGCATTATGTAGAAAGGTCATGTTATAAGAATAAAACAACATGACAAGATATATAAACTTTAGGAAGGTGAAGAGAACAGATTTCAAGCAACACACAATCAATTAATTAGGTAACTTGAGATAATGTGAACACAAGGTCTCTATAATTTTCTATTAGGTTGTGCTTCAAGTAGTGCTATAAACTTAAATTAATTATATCAATAGCTTCCTGCACTATAAATTGGCTATTATCATTTCCCCAAATGTAAACAGTAATGCAAACTTCCTCCTATTTTTATTTGTAGGTCTTCTTGAGTGGAATACAAATAAGTGAAAACTATGTAAATCTTAGGAAATTCGGGCATGTACTCTGCCACTAAATGTGCATTTGGCAAAAGAGATCCCATCAAAAGAAAGGCTGGAGAGGCCTAAATATAACTTCTTCTAGACTTTAAAAATCCTGGCTTATCATGAAAACAAAACAAAAAGTTTTGCTGAAACAAAACAAATGTTTTGTGTGATTTGAACAAAACAAAAGTTGAAAAAGCCACTGGTTTTCGTAGCTTACTGGAACATATTCATCTTTTTATGCATGTTTCTGCTAATGTCCTAAATTTAGGTTCCAAATGATTCAAAAATTCAAGCTCCTCTTCTTCTTGTCGTTCACTGCAGCAACCTACAGAACCAGCCAGCGACCCTTTCCCTTCGTAGGTGTAGGTCAGGACGTAGTCTTGAGCGTGCTGGTGTTTTACATCCTGGTTGCAGAGTTTCACCTTCTGTGGAAAGGACAGACACAGCATGGTTTATTCTTACTATTTTAAGCACCAGAAATTACCAACATAAAAATAATGGCTTTGATTTACCTTTCATTGTTTAATTTTTAATCAGAGTGTGTCCTCTAATGGATTCCTACATATAAAAAATGGTACATGATTGGTCTGTATCACAAATCACACTATAAATGCATCACTTAGCATGTTCCCAAAAGTCACATATGTGGCAGCAAGTATACAAGTGTTTCTTTTAAGTAATCATCTTTTCCCTTTCCAAGTTATGGCTAAAGTATGATGCACCCAGGACATGGAACCCAAATCATTGTGGATTCAGGTCTTTCCAAACAGGCAATGTAGTTGTGCAGGCTGGAAGTGCCTGGCCCCACACTTTTGGTTTCCAAGATATAACTTGTCGGGTGGGAACTATCAAAACAAAGTCATGGAAAATATGTAAATAGGGTCACACATTGCAATAAGAATTAAAAACAATTACAATATGAGGGGGGAAAAAAGCATCCACTTAGTATCTGAACATATCAAAATTAGGACAAAGTAACTTCCCAATTAGTATATTTGTAAAAATTGAAAATAAAGATCAGTTTGTAATCATTTAGAAAGTTGAGAAGAAATAAAAATAGAGCTTGAAGACACTTAGGGGAACTCACTTCGCCGAGACGGGGCTGCGTGAAACTATGCCACTCGGTATAGGCGTGTCTGCACTGGTCCACCTCCACTTGTCCTCCCCTGCAGGGGTCCAGGGTCTGCTGTCCACCTCCCCTGCAGGGGTCCAGGGTGTACTGTCCACCTCTGCAGGAATCCAGGGTGTGGTGATGCCCACTCATTTGGTTGCATTCTAGAGTCTGGTGTGGCCCTCTGTCCATCTCAATGTTCTCCTGCCCTCCATTTTTCACTCCTGCTCCCACCTGGCCACAAATTGCATGAGTAGAGTTGCATGCAGCCCCATGAGATGCACATGTGAAGTCATTTGTGGAATACTGAAATGAAAAAGTTTGTGTTGGAGACAATGAGGGAGAAAGAGGCATGGGGGGGGGGGAAATAAGAAAGGAACAACACCATGCATTTAATGCCATGGATTTCTGAGTAGGTGATAAGTTCTCTGAGATCAGGAACTAAATGCATCTTCGCAATCCTGAGTACCTAACTATGCACCCACAATACCTCTTATAGTTCAAGATATCCGGTGTACTAAGTAAATTGTGTAAATCAAGTGGTCTGAATCAAACCAGAAATGCAATTTAAAATTACTAAGCTTTAACACCTTCTTGGAATATGGTATAATTTTATTTGTCACATCCTTCCAGCATCTCAAAATCAGGATTGCAATGCCCTGGCCTCCCCTACATTTACTCTGCTTGCTTTAAATTCTTTCCCTTCACCAGACTAGAGCAGGGATAGAATAAGATTGGTATTTTTATTTAATGTCCAACTAAATAAAGCTAAATAAAAAAAATAGAAATAAAATTGCACAAAATCTTTAGCTGAAATAATAAATCCTGGCAACATAAATAAATAAAAGTAAATCAAGGAGGGAAAATTTGAATGCCAAAACTTTAGCCCCTAGTTTTCTATGATGTGGTTTTAAGGGAAATTATTTTTCTTTTTTATAGTTTCTTCCTAGAGGCCAACATCCTTTTGTTTATCTAAATGTTTACTGCCCTAATCATGGATTATGTTTTTCACAGGGTATTCACCTGTTCCTCATCTACACATGGGCTAGAAATCAAAGTTGGGGCAATATAGCCATTTGTTAGCATTACTGTTCCATATATTTGACTCAGGCTTTTTTCTAAACCACATATGAGCCAGAAAGACTTCATTAAAGTTCTTCCCACACTCATCAAAGCTTGAAGTCATTTTATTGCTGTTGCTAGAAAAAAATTTAAAGCAATTATGTTGATGATCTGTGAACAATTAAATGCAACATTTTTGTAGCACAAAGAACAGTTTCAATATATAAAAAGGAATGTATTTAAGGTTGAAATCATGAAACATTTGAACTAGAAAGTAATAATGACCTGCAAAAGGAATTTTACTAGTAAGTTATACTATGTGGCTAAATTGTGGCCACATTTTTATGTCACCATGGTAATCTGCCACGTCATCCGTTCCTCAGGACTGAAAACATATTGATACATATATCACCTGAACTCAGAATGTTCTTGAAAGACATGCATAGTTGGCTAAAACAATTTATTCTTTCCAGTATTTTACAAAAACAAACTACTTACAAGTTTGTCATCGCCAGGAGCTTCAGTGTTTGACACAATGAGGTTCTGCTGGGCTATATCATCAGGAAATACTTTTGGCTTTTCAGATGCCCTAGTCACCCCACAGACTATGGTAAATAGTATACCTGGAGGATGAGAAAGTTGAACTCAGTTTATCACAAAACAATGTGAAGCTATCACCTTAAAGTAATTAATACAAAGACAGCTTCCAAAAAATGTAAACATGACAGCATGTGTCAAAGTGGTATAAGGCATAGCAGTTCACACTAGCCAGAGTGCCACAGACACATGCTCACTGCTATATTTCTACATTGCTTTTCAGCACTATGCTGAGACATCTCTAGAGTTATAGTGAGTATGTATGATATTATAAATACAGTGTATCTAAATGAACTGCAATGGATAAGTGTTAATTCTAGGACTATGTCTTGAAAGTTATTTTTAGGGCCATTATTTGAATTCATGAAATGACTTACAAAATAGTAATGCTATGCCCAACAAGATGGCAAGGATGGCCCACTTTCCAAGTTTTATTTCTCCACTGCCAGTTCTCGAACCTATTGTCGATATGCAGTCATTTTCCGTAACACAGTCACACAATATAACATGTACAGGAGTGACACGTGACAGGCCATGTCTATCTGTGACTCTGATAGGTACTGGGTATGTTCCAAATGGAAGGTCACTCAGGCAGGAAAGGCGTGCTGCTGTGTCTGAAAAAAAAAAAAATTAAACCAAGTATTATATGTCATTAATTTCACCTGAGCATTCAATTCTGGGTCAGGCACTTCCCACAATCTGCCGCCTATTGACATTCCTGATGGAATTCACAACTGCTACAGATAGTAATGAGTGTGAATGGCTCTGATCTAGATGTATTACAAACATACTGCAAATAAGGATTTGTACATAAGGGTTACATTCTCTTAAAAAAAGACATTTTGATGTTTGCAATAGTTTATCTGACCATTAACTATAGCTCATTTATCACATCTTACTTTTTAATATAAAGTGTACATATTTTATACATGTTTCATCATGAGTAGTATCAGAATTTAATGGAAAAAAATTCTAGATGCTTCTCTTTATTTTCGTGTATGTGCCAAACCAAGAGAAATACTTTTTATTTATTATCATATACTAATCCTGAAAACATCACTGACGTTGAACTTATTATAGTCCTAGTCATGATGCCAGAACTTGATGTCATGGTCCTATCAGATTCTGGGACTAACTTTATATTTTTCAGTTTTCACATAGTTTTTTTTTGATCAGAGGTAAACACACCATATCCAATCCAAATCCAATGCAGTCTTGGATTCAAAATCAAAGATATAATTCTACTCTGAATATAGGCTCCTCTTGCCCATGCTTCCCTATTTAACCTGAAGTTACATGTTCATTTTTTTTCTAGTGTCTGAAACGCTAACTATAAATTTAAATATTTGGCTAAAAACATAATTGCTTTAACTCAATTTTAAAAAGAAAACATGGTTAAATTGCTAAGTCTATTCTGTAAGAAATAATAATCAGACTTATAAAATCAAAATTTATGATTGACACTGTGCCCTGGTATAATGCTCTAATTATCTCCTTGACTTCCCCAAAGAATCCCACTTTACACAAGTTAAATTATGTCCAAAGAGTATAAATAGAATGATCAGATTTACATTAAAATAACTGAGTCTATCTGATTTCAAAGGCTCTTTGGGATACATTCTTCTTGATTTCATGTTTCCCAGGATTTTGACTCATTTCACATATAGTAAACTTTTACAATAACAAAATTTTGATTGACATAATCCTTCCCGTGTTTCATTTAGAAAAAATTGAATTTAGAAATTTAGAAAAATAGAACTATTTAAAAAAGAAATGCAGTAGCATCAAATAACTAAAAAAAGGACAAACTCTCAGCTCTTGCCAAGAAATAATGGTTGATAAACCTTGAAAGCATTTACACACACTCACCAACATGCTTGTATATTCATATTTTTTTTAAAGATTGATTTATTTGTGCATACAGAACTGGGGTACAGGCCAGAGGCTCAGGGGCGGTGAGAGGCTTCACCAGAGACAGAGTCGGGAGCAGAAAAGGCAGTTCATGGAAGTACACTGCTGAGGGGAGCAGCGGGCGGGCCAGGAGAGGTCTGCAATGCCATGTGGTCACCTCCAGGGCAAGCGAATATCGAACTCATGTGGAAGTGGTTTTAGCTTCTTAATGCTGTGCTTTAATCTGCTGCACCACCAGGGAGGGCCGAATATTCATATTTTAAAAAATGAGAATTGTCTCAGTTCACAGAGCTGGGTTCTAGGCCTTTGCTGCCCTATGTCTATAAGTCCCTGCTTTTCTTCCCCTTTCCTTCCTACCTTTCCCTTCTTTCACGACCTTTGTTTTTCACTTGCCATAGTATTAAACTGATACTTAATCAGGATATTTTAAAGGCAAAATCCATTGTATTTACTGTGGATCCCGACTCATGATGTAGTAGTCCAGGGAGACTAGGCATCGTGTCTGTGGCTCTTGGTAGTGCCTTCAGAGGCAGAGAATATGCTAAAAAGTTTAGAGTTATGGTAGGGAGTGGCATGGTGCTGGTATGGAGACAGATTCCTTTCCCTTGCTATTCTTGTCACCATAGAGCCCATCCTGGGTAAGCTCATAAGGAGACTAGGGATTGGAGCAGAATGCCAAGAAAATAACTGACAAGAAATAATGAGAAACTATTGCACTGGTAGAAAGAAAGGAGGGGGCGGAGGACACTATGATACCCCCCACATCGCTCTGCGGTCAATGTTTCATTGGCCACCGGCTTAGAAGATTATCAGCACCTTCTAGAATCGGGCCTTCCTGCCAAAGTTACCTCTCTCAGGCAGCCTTCCACTGATGGAGCAGTGGCTGGTCCTGGGGTAACTGTGATGCACCATTTAGTTCAGACTTCCATCCGGTTACTGGCTGTTCTTTGGCCTGAGTTACATTTTGTCTTTTCTTTTTGCCCAATCATTTCTCTTCCTTTCACAGTTATTCACACCAAGCGAACTCTTTATTATACATTCTGCCTGAGACATTGTCTACTTCTGGGACATTTACAACTGATGGATATTACTTTATGGCCTAAGGAAAAATATTATGTAGGTGGGAGGTAAATAAGTCAGGAAGTGATTATTTTAGATCTAGTCTAAGAAGATGTGTGTGTTTGTGTGTGTGTGTGTGTGTGTGTGTGAGAGAGAGAGAGAGAGAGAGACAGACAGACAGACAGACAGAAGGATGATGAAAATCCATGTAGCAACTACATGGACTGGTTAGAGATAAGCAGTAGACAGAACCACACCAAAAACTGAGGAATTCGCCTTCCTTCACTTGTGGTTTCCATAAAGCAAATTAATCTTCAGGAAAAAAATAGATATTTTAGATACAATGATACTGAAAGAGACAAAATAATATTTAGAAATATATACCATTAATTTTTGTCAGTCTCCATTTTCTTGGGCTGTCTGAATTAGAAACACCATCCAAGTCGAAGTTAAAAGGTGGACCATTTATGGGGTCATCTGGATCAACAGCAACAATCTCCGTGGATGACATGACAGGTTTGCAGATTACCACTCTGTCTTTAGGTATGAATGGACCATTATCATTCACATCTTCAAGTATAATTCCCAGTGTCCCAGTACATGATCTCCCAACTGGAGAAAGAGATGAGAAAATACAACAGTTGATTTTTTTGAGTAATCATTAGACAATTACACATTGAAAAATAATTTAAATATTTATTAAGCACATGAACATAAATGAAAGTGGCAAGAACAGTCAGATTAAGTCTTTTGGGAATGTTAAAGGAAAAACATCATTTTCATATCCACTATACAGATTATAACTGCCATTTATAATGCCATTTATTGCTAAGTATCTGCAATATGACATAGAAACTTTATAGAGGTAAGTTTTTACTACCTGTTTAAAGACTTATTTATTTATGCATACAGGAACTGGGGTACAAGCCAGAGGTGCAGCAGGTGGGAGGATTCACCAGTCAGAGTGGGAAGCAGAACAGGCAGATAGACTGAAATACACTGCTGCAGGGAGCAGCAGGCAGCAGGAGAGGTCTGCCACACCATGTGGGTCACCTCCCTGGTCGGGGATTGAACTCATGCTGCAGTGGCTGCAGAGAGCTTAATAGTGCTTTGCTTTAACCCACTGTGCTACCTGGGAGGGCCTGAGTTTTGACTGATTTTTAAAAGGGGAAGAGAAGAGAGTGTCATCTCAAACTGACGGTGCTATAAAAAAGCAGAAATCAACAAATCTCTCAACTATGTCATTCTGGAAAAAAAAAAAAAAAAGCTGAGATTATACCCAGCTTACAAATGGGTGCTACTGGTTTAAAAACTGAAGATATCTAAATTGGAAGTATATAGCTGGTTTCAAACAAAGTTCTTACTGTTGTCTGATGCCAGGACTGTAATATTATAGATGCCATTTTTGATGGTCTCTGCCTCTCGATCCAGGCTTCTGAAAATCCTTATTGTCCCTGTGTTTTCATCAACTGTCACCCATCCTTTGGGGTCACTTACTTTCTTATACCTGTTAATAATGATGAAGTAAAAAATAAATAAATGCATCACAAGTCAAATTATCATACTAGCTTCAAAATTAGTTACAAATTTTAAAAAAATAACAAATATGGAGTTAAATAAGTGAAAATTATACATACTTTATGCCACTGCTACTTTTTGTTTCTGGGTCATAGGCTTTATAGCCATTGCTCTGGGTTCCCACGGGTGCATTTTCATTAATTCGAATGACTTGGACTGAAGGACTGCACTCTGGGCCCTCATCCTGATTTTTTACATTAACAGTAACTGCCGCTGTGCTCATGGCTGATTTGGAGGTGGAGTCTTTAGAATATGGAGCTTCGTTAACTACCCCAATTTGCAGGATCACCTGTTGTTTTTCTTCATAATTCAGCGGCTACAAAAACAAGTGTTGAAAATCAGATTGAGATATTTAATATTTAGCCGTGTTAATTGGATCAGATTTTAAACTTCTCAAATATAAATTTCCTACTTAAAAGACCAAGGGTTAGGGCAGGAGCTGGATGAAGGACAGACATAGTATTTAAAGGACATTTCTTTATTATTTTTGAAATGGAGATTAACTAACAAATTGCAGCTAATTTTCAACATTTTTAATAAAAAGAATCTATCTTTTTGATCCATACTCCTAATGAATATGTACAAAAGGAATAGTCCATAGCCCCATGACAGAACCATGTTGTAGGAAAAGATGCAGCAGAAATAATACTAAGACTTTGTCCAAAATCAAAGGAGCTCATATGATTCTATGGGCTGATCTTTGGCTCCTGAATTGTCAGGGAATTCTAAGATGCTACAGAATAGTCTTAAAGAGAGGTGTGAGTAATATTTACATTTTGAATGGTTGAGATTTCCATGCTGAACCAAGAAGCTAAGGTATAATTTATATAAGATACAGGTGAGTAGATCTGTAACCAGTGTGCCTATGGATCTAATCATCATTTGGGATAATCAGTAAATAAGTGGGAGCTCTTGACCCAGCTACAGAAAAAACAGGCTAGGAATGATTGGCAGTGTTCCACTGTCAGCATAGTTGTGCTAGTATCTGAACTGTTAAAAGATATTGGATGCAGGTCTCTCTGGTGGTGCAAAGGGTTAAGTCTTAGGACTATGCAACTGCAGCACAAGTTTAATCCCTGGCCAGGAGGTGACTCACATGGCACAACAGACCTCTCCTGTCTTGGCACAACAGACCTCTCCTGTCTTACCCGCTGCTCCCCTCAGCAGTGTACTTCAGCCAATCTGCCTTTTCTACTCCCCACTCTGTCTCTGGTTAACCATCTCACCCCTCCGACTCCATATTCTAGGCTACAACCCAGCTCTTGTATGCATAAATAAATAAAATAAATATTTTAAAAAGAGAGAGAGAGATGTTGGTTACAAGGGAAATAATGTATTATATTAACCAAATACATATGTGATATTTCTAAGCCATCTCCTCATAAAAGGCTCCTCAAATATATATACCCATCCTATTATATATATGAACAGTGCATTTACATTTATCTCTCTCTCTCTACATATATATATAGATAGATAGATCTACACATATGTTTTATATCTACTTTAACCAGAATGACCTTTTCATTAACTTCAGTATATTAATCTATAATATTATAAGCTACTAATATACTAATTTGTGCTTACCTTAACCACACAAAGAACTCCTTCATTGGTGTTGGGATCAGTTACAATTTTAAAATTTCCATTTTCATTACCCTTTAAAATGGTATAATTAGCTCTCCAATTAGCAGTATTAATCAAGTCCTTATCCTCAACAGTAACACGTAAGATTTCTACATCAACTGTATTTTCTTCCACTGATGTCACATACTAAAATAATAAAGAGTTTAATTAGTAATTTTTACAAAAATGCCCTAAGAGAAGTAACCCGATTATTCTAATTTCCAAAGTACTATGTTTACATTCTTTAACTCTTAAGTACAAACTACTGTCATGTGATCTGGAATATTTCATATGAAATTATGAGGCACTGGAAGAGGTGTACATCTTTAGCAGTCAATAGCAGGTTGTATATTTTTCTTTTTTAATAGCATACACTTACAGAAGTCTGGGTAAACACTGGCAAGTTGTCATTCATATCATCAACTTGAATGACACAAGTTGAAGTGGTAAACAAGCCAAAATATTGACCATCCATGTCTTGTACTTTTATTTTCAATTGGTATCGATCAATTAACTGAAATGAAAGTAAGAATTTAATTAATTAGTGAAAGCAGCATTATTAAAGAAAAGTTAATTAACACTCTAATGTTTGCTGCATTAACAATTTAAGAGGTACAGTATTGAATTTCACAACTTTCAGGTAGTAAGAAAAGTACTCACACTAATAATTTTCAATTGCTGTGTAAAAACAGAGTAGTTTCTAAAACTTAGTGCCACTCCTAGAATATGGAATTGCTTTTTAACTTTACTCATAGAAAGTAAAACCATAGCCATAGTAGGTTTAAAATTACTTAATAATTAATTTTGATTGAGTTCTTTCTCCTAGCCAATGTACATTTTTGTGCTCTATAAAAAAATCAGTCTTGTAATAAAACAATAAATTGAAATATCCTTATGTAAAATAACAAGGTTTAAATATTTACTTTCCATTTACTAAAAAATAAAATCATTAAAGTAACATGAAAACAAAGACTGGGCTACGTAATTTTTCTCTCCATGTAAAACAGAATCCAACTCTTACCACTTTCCATTCATGAGAGATTACAAAAGACTCATTACTAACTAAGACAATGCAATTCTTGTCATAATGGCTTTATTTACCAAAAGTAATTATAGAAGGATTATAAAGGCACTAATGATAGTGCCTTCTGGGCTAACAGACTTGGGCTCTCTTTCCAACTTCAAATTAACAAATGTAATCTCAGGTACTTGAAAAATTCTCTTCCTTTTTTATAAAATGATAATAATACCTTTCAGTCTAATTCACCTTTTATTGTAACACAAAATAGATGAAAGATATCCCAAACTTTTAACCACAGTGTTCGCCATTCTTTAACAAAGTTACCTTCTCTCTTTATTCCATCACCTCTTCAACTCTCTTGTCTTCATGTAGTATCTATATAACTGAAATTTCCCTCAATCTCTGAGTTTTTTCCCAACATAATTTTCCTAATTCACTCTTCCCTTATAATCCATCGCATATATAGAGTTGAAAAATAATGGCCTTATTTTATTAAAAATGTAAAACCTCATCCTAATATACTAGAATAACCAAAGTGAACTATGATTTATTGGAAATAACCAACTGGCTGATGAAACCAGAAAGTGATGCTCAGTGGTTCTTAATATTAACTTGTGGCCTCTTCAGGTAGACCCCTTCTATTTAAAGGTCTGAAAGCAACAACAACAAAAACCCTGGAATCCTGTAATCAAGAGGTAGCTGCACAACACTCTTGGATCAAAGCTCCCCAAGATCCCTTCACTAATCAATGTTTTCACCTGATTTATAGAAGGATCTATCCAAGTGTTGCTGATAAGAGGTGATTGGGTTTCTAATCTGCTTTTCCTGGGCACATAAATTCCATGAAGAATCTACATAATATGTAGAACTACTAACCTAAGTTGGTGCTAGGGAACTGACAAAATAACTACTATATGTCAGTGTCCACATATGTTCAGTAGCCAATATTCTATGTAAGAAAATTGTGGAGGGACTATCAACATGCTTTCTGGAGAGTGATTTGGTCTAGAGGGCAAGAGGAATGGGAATATGAATCCGAAGTAACAGAAAAGTTACTAATAGGAGTCATGGGAAACATGGGAAAGAGCAGTTTAGAAGAAAAGAGTATTCCATTTTATAAGCACTGCATCTTAGGTACCTGTGAAATACTTCAATAAATATTTCTACAAATCAATTGAAAATGGTAAGCCAGCAATGTATATGAAATTATTGAGAAAAGGGCGATGCAGAAAGAGAGGGGAAAGCATTGTTATCTGCAGAAAAAAAAATTCTGCATATTTCTAAAAGCTTCACTTTTCATAGTTGGCATTTCTTTTTGTTAATATTACAAATATGCTTATTTTAGAAAGTCTAATTTGATAAAACATACTATTCAGGAGACAATGAACTAGCTTTTCAAAATTAACACACTGTACATTTAATGATCTCTATTAACACACTTAAAATAATAATTTTTCTAAAAATAGATTCACAAAATGCTTTTCAAAAACACATGAATAGGTGATACATAAACAGGGATAACCAAGTTCATTAATTAACAGTAATGTGATAACCAAGTTTATTATTAATATTTATCTTACCTCTCTGTCTAGCTGGGATGATGACAAGGTGATCACACCTGTGGATGGATGCATAGAAAACAGGGTGGGTGATGCTGGTAACTGCTCCATAATGGTGTATTTTAGACGTGTGTGCATAGTGTCTGGCTCATCTTTGTCAGTCGCATGTACTTGTCCCACGATGGTTCCTATATATTGAAAACATCTTCTTTAATTTTCAAAATGTTTACATTTTCACTTTATTTCTCCATTCAAAATGCTTTGAATGACTCCAACAAATATCACAGTAAACAGTGTTGTAAATTTGCAAATTTTGCTATCTTTCAAGGATCCCAATGTTCTAATTTGAAATCTCATCATCATATCCATAGTTACCCTATATAATATATAATTTTATAAGTGTAGTTAAGATAGCTCAATGGCCAAGGAATTCTAATTTTCTTTAACCTTTTTTCTATTTATAAGTTTATAGTTAAATCGATCATATGAGTCAGTTTTCTCTGAAAATTCTTGGTTTAGTTGAGCTGCTCTGAAAGACTCAAATACTGCACTCTGACTCACAGATAACATGGTCCTTTTTCTTAAGACTAAGAAAACATCTCTTTTTCTCAATGACCATTATGTCAACCATTTAATCACTGCAGAATATCAAAAGATCTCATTCTGTCAACCATTTAATCACTGCAGAATATCAAAAGATCTCAAAGCTAAGACATCAGTTGTGAAAACCTGCTTTTTTTGGCGCATATCTTTAAAGTATTTACTTCACTTGGGAAGACAAAGTAACATTCATTGAGTATTGCCTATTTCTCAGATACTGTGCTTGGTATTCCACATGAATTAGGTTTCACTTAACCTCCACAATAATATTGCATGTAAGTATCCCATTTTGCAAATATGGAAGCTGAGACTTGTCAAAATTAGAACACGTGCCCAGGGACACAGAACCAAGCTAGCTAAGGACAGAGTAAAATCCCATGCAGGAAGCCTGTTGGACAAGTCTGCTGTTCCATGCCAGTAGGGTATGCTGCCTCCCTATGGCCACAGTGAAAATCTATTTATAAACTGAAACATTAAGATTCTACATATTATTAAGGTCCGTATATTAAAGTTGTATATGTAATTAAGGTAGGTACTTACCGACTTTGCAGCTTTCGCAAATTGAAAAAGTATACAATGTTTCCGTAAAAATTGGATGGTTATCATTTTCATCCTCAACTCTGATTAGTAGGGGCAATGGAAGTTCTGGAGTATATCCATCGGGAGTTATTGCAAAGGCAGTTAGCTATAAAGAAAGCAAAGTAAAAATAGAAGCAGAAGTAATCTATTAAGAGATGATTTAAAAATCACTTTAGTTTTAATTTGGAAGCTGTTCAACAATGAGGTATGAGGCTCTTCATTTGTTATTGTTTTTGTTGTTCTTATTGTAAGCGAATGCCAAAGACAAGGCCAAAGTCATAGTGTACAACAGCATTTTATGTTTAAAATTATCTAATATAATTAGATATTTTCAATTTCCTCAGTATTGGTGTACTATTGTTTATACACATAGTAGAATTTAATTTTCCCAAGACTGTCTTAAAGATTATTTTTTGTTTCTGTTCTAAAGTTTCAAGTACATGGATTTTAAATACAACTTTCTGAATCTTTTAAACCCTAATTTAGCATTTTTCATTGGGATTCCAATTTCCCAGATGTAGTTAACTGGAATATTGTATTATTTTCTACAAATTAAGATTTTAGGTATATTGACAATTATATGTAGGTAATTTTCTTCATAAGAATTTTTTTTACTTAAAAGAAAGGAGTCAGAAATAGAACAAATGAATAGCTCTAAATTACATGTGAAGATCTATGGGGACTACACCTGAGGAGAGAAATAAAAATATTGTACAAAAATGAACATTGATGTAAGGAAATAAATAACTAGAAAAAATTTTCAAAAATAAAGTGTGTATGGCATGCAATTTATTTCTTTTATTTTTATAATATGAATTATATGTGTGTGAATATATGAATATAGACATGTCACATGTATAATATGAAGAATATTAATTTCTATTTCATTTTTCATGATAGAATTCACAGAACATTACAGGTACTAAAAATGCCACATGAATAGCAATTTTACACCTAAATACATAATTGAAATTTTGCATGTCTACTCAATTGATTTATCTGTTGATATATAGTTAATTGATCCTAAACAGATGTCAAATAATTAAAATCAATTTGAAAATAACCAGATCATAAGAGTAAAAAATAGATATATATAAAATGCTAAATTGTTACAGATTAATAAAAAGACTGAATAGTTTTAGTTAAGCACGTCTACACTCCTGCTTATCACAAGTTAATTTTCTCCAGTTGCAAAGGCATTGAGGATTTAACTTTTGAACTTCATTAGCCTGGTATCTCCCTCTTTACCATTAAGAAGTTCAAAGATCTCTTCTGCCAAAGAAATAGCTGCTCTTCTAAGTGGTATTCAATTTACTTTTGAAAAAATGTTAAATCTATAATATCAAAAACCATCTAATCAAATCTACTATCATTTATTCTGAGAATTATGTCCTTCAAGTCAAGTCTGTACTATCAAACATAGTCAGAATCTGGATAGCAAACTTAGAAAACAGAAGAGGGTAAACAAAAAAAGGAGGAGAGGCAAAGTAGTCAGGCTTAATAATTACTAATAAAATGAATAGATTTTAGACCTTACCTCAAAAAATGCATACTGCTCACGATCTACAGGACGAGTACAAAACAGATTTCCAGTATGTTTCTCTACATAAAATAAGTTGACAGGTTCTCGGTCAACTCCAGGTCCACTTATGGAATAGAATATAGTGTAGTTTTGTGCTGTGTCAGATTGAATCTAAAAAGTAGGTATTATATACTTAATAAGCAAATTTTTATTTCAGCAAAACTTTTACATATATAATTATGAAATTACACTGCCATCTTTATTGTTATATATTATATAATAATTTTTATTATTATATATTATATAATATATTATAGTATATATTCTCCCTCTTTAATTACTATTATGTATGAATAAAAAGCAGCAACAGAATAAAGAAGCCTGATAACCAAGAAATTTCAAGGGGAAGGGATGAGGGAAATAATGTAGTAGTGTCTCAGTTTCCAAAATAGCTAACTTTAAGGGTTAGCCAGTGTCAATATGGGAAAAATGTTTAACAATTTTCCTGTCTTAGAAAACAAAGCATTCTTAGTATGAAATATTCTTTTGTCAAAATTTTACATATTGAATTTTTATTTTTAAAACCATAATATTTGAGATACTGGGTTTAAAGTGTAGTATCTGCAGGACAGAAATTTGGAAATACTTTTTTAAAATTATTTTTTATTTATCAGCACCTTCTTTATTAAAGGAGCTGAGGCAGGAGGAAAATGAGTTGAGAATGAAAATGGCTTAATATCCTGAAAAGTGTGATTTTTCTGGTACTAGATTCAGAACGTCAAACTTTCCCAAGTTGTTTTCATCCTCTTAATAAGATCTTGACTATATATCAGCATGACAAACACAATTATTTTCTAAAATTTCTTTCTTGACTTCACTCCGTTCTTCTCTCAGTTGCGTTAAATTTATTGATGAGCTATAAGAAACCCAGGTCATAGGCCCAGTGTCAGTGGCCACAGGTAGCAGAAGGCAAGTACATTTGCTGGGATTTCCACTCAATGTTAAAAGAGAGAAAATGTGGACCCAGTGCGATTTTAACAGTGGGCTTGATAATGACATTTCTGTGTCTTTTTCCTTCAAGTCACTTTTGTCTTTTATTTGGATATGGCTTTGGAATTTTCTAGATGATGCCTATACTACTGATACACTTCCTGAGAGGAAAATTCATTAAAGTACCATGAGTTTGAGAATACTAAAAGAGTTGGGCAGTCTTATAGATGGCCTTTTATACCCAAACTTCAAAAAACTATAAGCAGTTATAAAATCACTTATACCCATACACTCAGACATAAAATACACATTTCTTGTATATTAATACAAAGCTTTTTAAAATATTTACCTACCAGTACCAAAATTGAAAAAAGTGGAAACCACAGATTTTCATGATAGAAAGAAAGTGAATTATACCTGTTGAAGAAAGTATGGGAAGGGACCCAAGGAATTTTCCAGTATTGAACAGGGAATAGGAGCCCATCTTCTCTTGGCACGTCTTAGGACCTTTTCTTTAGGATGACTTATCTTGAAAGAAAGAAAAAAATAAATAAAATCAATGGCTATTTTGTTGAAAATACTAGGACTCTGAGACAGTTTTCTTCTCTCATGAGGATTAACTGGAGAAGTAGTACTTGAAAACCAAAGGAAATGCCAACACTACAAAAGAAAGTAAATAAATAACTGTTTGTTAACACAGATCCCCTTTAAAAACAAGTTGATGGAGAGATCAAAGAAAGATAAATGGAAATGGAAGCCTGGAAGCAAAATGTAAAAAAAAAAAAAAAATTGCATATAGCCATGCAAAAAATGGGAGGAGAGATATGCAAAAAAACTATCTAGAGTATGTGCCCTTCTAAATTTGGAATAAGTATCTTCAACTCACCAGCAACTAGGAAGAGTCAGGGGATCAACAGAGAGATCTGTGTCAGATGAGGAGAGAAACATGGTGACAACTCTCACAGTGCTGCAGTGAGTAGTGTCCAGTGTCTGAATAGAAGTGCTTTCTATCTTGAGTGTCACAGTTTAACAAGAATGTATGAGTCCAAACCTCAACCTAAAATAGTCTCAACCTAGAAATACAAATTCTGCTAATACCTCCAGCAACAAGCTTCAAAACTTCTTAGTAATCTAATCAACAATTAAGATCAAGAATCACTTCTTCGTCTCTACTCTCAAGCTGTCATGCTTATGCTTCAACAGATCCTAATTTCTCATTTTATGTCCCAAATAAAAAGAAATAATAGGGCCCTCCCTGGTGGCACAACAGGTTGAAGTGTAGCACTACAAAGCTAGCCACAGATGCCTCAGCATGAGTTCGATCCCGGGCAGGGGGGTGACCCACATGGCACAGCAGACCTCTCCTGTCTCCGCAGAGTACTTTTGTCAATCTGTCTATTCTGCTTCCCACTCTGTCTCTGGTAAATTCTCTCACCACCCCTGTGCCTCTGTCCACTACCCCAGTTCTGTATGCATAAATAAATAAATCTTTTAAAAAGTAAAGGAATAATAATTTATGTTGTATAACCCTTTTCTGACTGAACATTATTGAGCTTTGTCTTTTCTTTTGTCAAGTTAAACTATCTCATACACTTTCTGATTCCACTATCAAGAATCATAAAGTCTGGATCTCCCTTGATAATTTTAGTTATACCTGAAGAAAATATTATATTTCATTTTCATAGGATACCTCTGTTTGATGTTCTAAAACGACAAGTATTTTCCTCTCTTCTTGGTTCTCAGTGCTGGAAAGGAATATGGTAAAATCTCTCTTTTCTGAGGGCAGAATAGTTTTTGTTGTATACACTGAACCATCTTCAAAGATTTGGAAATCAGGATCACTTGACTGAATTACATTTGCAGATTTAAAGCACTCCTTCAGGTTAACTGTAAAAAATATACATGACAGTCATTTGTAACAGAAAGCATAACAACATAAGCATAACAACATATTGGCTTAGTAGTAAACTATGCATTTGGAAGGGGAGCCAAAAACTTAATTACACTAACACTTGTAAATTTTCCAATTTTAAAAGGACATATGAAATAATATTGATAACTTAAGTTGTAAGTAAAAACATACAACACTTCTCATATATTCCTTACATCTTTTAAAGAAGAGATATTTATCCTAAAATAAAAATATGTTTCCTCAAGTGCTTTGGATATTTTCACTTACCCCAAAATTTTTACTTATTGACTGAAATTAGCTACAGAGTAATACATGAGATCACTTGAAGTTAAACAGAATCTGAATAATTTATATAGGCAGTCATTAAAATATTAAAATATTACTGAGCTTTTTTATATCTATTGTTAAATAGATATATTCTGTGTTCTCATTGGTTTGATCTTTTCTTAAACATCTGAGTTCTGTGAAAAAAAATTGATAAAAAATCAATATGTGGGGGAAAAGGTCAATAGGTAGAAAAATCCAAAAACATCCTAAATTCAAGGACAGATTTAATATTACTCTTCTTTTTCACAGAAATATATGCCATGGGCTTCATCTAATGTAAGTACTAGTGATTATTTTACTTTCAAACTAAATCTTTTTATAGACTTCAAATAATTATGTTTATCAATAAACACTATTTGCTTCATTCATGATATACATTACAAATGATGGTAGTTTTAACTGTTATGTATACTATCATTATTCTTCTGAAAACTACATTAATTTTAAAAGATCACACATTAGGTTTTAGCATATATTTGAGAGGATTCTTACCTCTACCAACAAATTTCTCAGCCTTTAGTTCAGCTGGAACATGCAGTGTCACTTTTTTGCAGGCATCACAGGCAAGTGTTAAGATCTGAAATATAAAATCAATATTATGCATAAAAAGTCCTTCTACTGTATATATATAGTTTACAAAAATTAAAAATGCATGTAACTATAAATCACTTTATATAATTAGCAAAATAAAAACATACACTGGAGTGAAAAAAATATAAGAAAAAATCATATTAAAGGGAAGAATAAAGCAGTAACTAAGAGGTGCTACTCACTTTTCACAAAGCATGTGAACTCAGCATTCCTTACCCTCTTACACTTTGTTTCCTATTCTGTAAAATATGGTTAAAAGAATATGGAGGAGGCCCTCCCTGGTGGCACAGCGGGTTAAAGCACAGCACTGAGAATCTGAAGCCACTTCCGCATGAGTTCAATTCCCGCCTGCCCCGGAGGTGACCCACATGGCGAGCCAGACCTCTCCTGACCCGCCCGCTGCTCCCCTCAGCAGTGTACTTCGTTGATCTGCCTGTTCTGCTCCCCACTCTGTCTCTGGTGAAGCCTCTCACCGCCCCTGAGCCTCTGGCCTGTACCCAGTTCTGTATGAATAAATAAATAAATCTTTAAAAAAAAAAAAAAAAGAATATGGAGGAACCAATGAAAACGATGGAAGAGATCGCTAAAAGTGTTGACAGAAGAACATGGCTAAGGTATGCAAAGAGAAATAAAAGCGAATAATTTTCATTTGCCTATGAGCTATAATATCCAAAACAAAATCCCAATGCTTTTAAAAAAGACTAACTCGCTGTCATAGAATGATCTAAAGAGAGTATCAGTTGATCATTACTCCCACACAGGCAAACATTTTTTTTTTTAATGAATTTTTTATTGTAGTACCATTGTTTTACATTGGTTAGTATTTTGGAGATAAGGCTCTCCCTCTTCAGCTGTAGTCACCACAACACACCCACCACCATCCACTGAAAACACATAGTGTTGAAACATGAACTTATTTTGAAGGTACTCCTCCTCATGAAAACTGAGGTCATGTTAGAAAATATTTCACTTGAATTTCTTTAAATGTGTCAGTGACTTATGATGAACTAATTCCAGTATAACATGAACATACTGAAACTTAACTTTATTCTCATAAAACTTTACAGTGAATGTTTCTAGGGTACCTATTGTACCCTGTAATCTAAAAACAAGTTACTTAATTCCAACTTTTACTGTTATTTACAAAGTTGATAAACAAAATTAAAATTTTCATATTTTTCCCATATACATTAGAAAACTTTTAATTCTCTAGCTTAAATTATCATAAAGGACCAGGTAAAGGAGAAATTATTTGAATTCAGAAATAAGGGATGAACAAAAATATGCAAACTAATTATAAATTAAAAGATGAGAAGAATTCTCAGTACTTGTGTAATCAAGAGAGTAGGCGTTAAATCAGATGACTGAGAATTCCAGTTCCTGATGATTGAAATCACATGTCACTTATTCACTTAACCAGCATTTACTGACTGCTTACTAGGTGCTAGGTGCTTACTAGTTGCTACAGCATAGACAAAGCAAAACCCTTGATTTCATGAAGATTACATTATAAGGAAAGACATAAGATAAATACACACGTGAACAAAGGATACTATGCTAAGGCAGAGAGGGATAAACATTATTATAAAATTACAGCAGGGGGAGTGGATGAAAGAGGAAAGACCTAAAGTCTGAGTGAAATGAGAAAGCGAATGCTCAGTAACTGGGGAGGTGTCTTCAGGAAAAAAAAGTCCTGAACAAGGGAACTACCTGGAAGAGGTCTCTTCCTGCACTGGGGGATAAAAATGAGGTCGCCATAGCAGAGCACAATGAGGGAAGTGTGGCACAAGATGAAAGCAAAGTCCAATCAGGGCATGGCACACAGGCTGTGAAAGGTTGTGTGAAGGAAAGAAGACTAAATTCTGAAGGAAAAAAGAGGCAACAGGTTTAGAAACTAAAGACTGGAATCTGGCCAGCTCTTACACAGAGTTGTTCTGGGGACTATGGAAGAACAGACTGTAGCAAAACAAGAATGGAATAAGAGGGGAGGTGATAGCCTAGATCTGAGAGAAGGACAGTGACTTGGACTAGGGTAATGATAGAAAAAGGAAAAAAACAGCTGAATTAAGAAAATAATTGGTATAATTCTATTCTGGACTTTCATTCATTCATGCATTCAACATATATTTATTAAATCTCTACTATGCATCAGAAAGAAAGTAATGAACAAGTTCCTCCTGAAATAGTCAATTCAACGGCAAGACATATTTGTAATTTCAGTAGTGTGGAAAAAATGCAATGAGAGAAGTACAGAACACTTGCTACTAGGCTCATCTAAGAAGCAGGTGATATCTTCCAAAGAGTGGCTACAGTTTGACAAGTCAATAGATGGCAGAGCTTATATATTCCAATAAGGAAGGGCAAATGGAGAGGGCCAGAGATGGTACAGACCTAAAAATGAAATGTGGAATGACTGATGTACACAGCACAAGAATGACAGTGTAACATGGATTTAGAGAAGTGAATGCAGGACTGATTCTGAACAGAATGAGCAGTCTATGGAATTTAACCCTAAAATATATATATATATTGAAGAAGGTAAGTCTCACCAGCCTGAAGAACAGATTAGGAAGAAACAATTTTTATTTCTAATAATGGTGGCTAGGTCATTCATAAACCTCCTTTTCAAAAGTAATAATGAGGAAAAGAACTTTTTTTGTTTGTTTTATGAACATAAAGCATCTAGCACACAACTGCTAGTCAAAAATAGGGTAAAAGGGCCCTCCCTGGTGGTGCAACAGGTTAAAGCACAGCACTAAGAAGCTAGCTGCAGTCATTGCAATACAAGTTTGATTCCCGGTCAGGGAGCTGACCCACATGGCCTGACAGAGCTCTCCTGACCTGCCCAATGCTCTCCCCTCAGCAGTGTATTTCAGTAGATCTGCCTGATCCATTCCCACTCTGTCTCTGGTGAAACCTCTTATCACCTGAACCTTTGTCTGTACCCCAGTTCTTATATTCATAAATAAATAACTCTTTATAAAAAATAAGATAAAACGAAGAGACCAGAAACAGCTTCCAAAATGAAAAGATTTTTTTTGTCTCAGTAGACATTAAGAAATGTTTTGATTAAGTTATGAGAGAAGAGTCCCCTACATTAATCAAGGACTACAAATGAAATGTAGGCTAGTGCTTGCGATGTACACTCACATTACTGGCTTTGTCTTGGAACTTCAACTCATCAGCTTAAGAAGACTTGGCATAAATACCCTCATAGATGCTAAAAGACATTTCACTGAACCCAATAACAATCATACATAATTTTAAAAACCTCAAAAACTGAAACTGAAATGTACTTTTTCAATATGATTTTTATACTATGGTCACAGTATCAATGGGAAGGTAGTAGGCAAAGGCAGTCCCCTAAATTCAGAGGCAATCTAGATTTTTCAAGGTCATCATATATACACTCAGGTACATTAGACAAGAGGAACATATTCAATGACATAAAAATTAGAATGGAAGGGATAAAAAAAAAATCCCTATTTGCATTTGATGTGATTGAAAACCCAAGCAGAACAAATGAATACATCATTCAAAAACAGTAAGAGAACTTCAGTAAGGGAACAGAAATACTACTAAAATATAGAAATCATTTTAGTCTTCAAAACATGGAAGAGATGATTTTTCAAAGCAATACAAAGTTAGAATACCAAGAAGTAAACGTAGCAAGAAGTAAACGTAGCAATAAGTATGTATACAGAATCTAAACAAAATTTGTAAAGGACAAAAAAGTAAACTTATACAAAAACAAAAATGTGTCACAAAGGAAAATTCAACAACATAAATATATCAGTGCTCACTAAGTTAAATTATAAATATTACAATTCCAATATAGACTTTAACAGTACTTTGGGTGGAATTAACCACGTTTATCTAAATGGTCAAAAGGAAAAATAAATTACCTGCAAATATTCTTTTCTACTTTATCAATTACTTTTTTATTTTGCTAATTGTATTTTTACTTAGTTTGATTTTTTTGTTGCTATTGCATGAAGTATGTGTATTTAATAAAATTGATTTTCTCAATCTTAATAACTTGAAATCTGAGCTATTAATGCATCTCTTGAATCCAAATTTAAATAAGAAATTACCATGCTTTTTTCTCTTCTGTTAGCTATCATACCTTATATTTCAAACATTTATCTTTTTGGAGTTTTCTGTGGTGTCTTGCAAGTGATATGGATTTAATTTTATCTTTTCCCAATAATTGTCTAGATCAGTTAGTCTCACACTACCCACACTCATACATCCTCAATGGTATGATATTCCATTTATAATAAAATAAGGCACAAAGACCTATTAATATTTACCATGTCATTTACATTTTTATCTATCAATACTACTTCTGGTAATCTATTTTATTGACAAACTTACCCATATATGAAATTGTGTGTGTGTGTGTTTATTTTTTGTGACACTTGTAATAGCAAAAATGGTAGATGTGATGGACAGAAGATATCTATGAAATATTTATGTGTAGATTTAATGGACTTAATGAAGGATTAAAGAGAGTGATGAGGAAGAAAAAAAGCTTCCAGACTTACTACTTGCTGGAACAAGGTACATGGTAGTGTCATTTATTGAAATGTAAGGCACTAAAAGAAAAGCAACATTGTTTAGACAAATGATACATGCTTTATCACATGTCACAGCAGGTAGACATAGAAAGACCTATTGTTCAATGAAGACATACTAACTAACAATAAAACAGTAGGTGTATAAATTTACTAGCAATATAAATTTAGCACCTGCATAGTATTTGAGAGACAGAACATAGAATGGGATATATGAATTTGAGTGGTTAGGAAGGTCAAAAGAAAAAAGGAATAATTGTAAGAATAAAGTCACAGTCCTCAAAGTGGAATTGTATAAGGAAAGATTTGAATTTAGCAATGAAAATCCTTGATGATCTTAGAGTTTTAGTAGTAGTTTAGGCAAAAACCAGAGTTCAAGTGGTTTAGACAACCATAGGTGATACAATAA